CCTACAGAATAACCAATCTGCCATTATCTTCTGGTGTAGGTAACGAATTGCCCAAGCAATTATTCCTCTTGTGCCTCACGTATTCTTTTCTAATAAGCTAGATAAGTCGTTTTTTCGCCATTGTGCCAAAATAACTTAGAAAGATTTAAATTTTTGCTAAAAAAATTCCATGGGCTACTCACCTTAATGACACTATGTTTTGAAAATTTAATAAGCAGTGTACATTATTAACAATTAAATTCAAACTTTTTTTTAATTAATAAAGAAAACTAATTTTTTAAACTTGGCAATACATTATTAACGGAATATCAGAAGATAGCCATAATCACGATAAATAATAGCTTAATTATATTTCGTTAAATCCTCAAGTAGAAAATCAACTTAGGGACTTTTTCCCCAGCACTGTTATACAATTTATAAGTAGCCAAGGTTGTTACCTAAATAGTCTAATGAAAAAGCTTATACAAAACAAAAACTAAAAGCACTACGGGTATTATTTTTGCTATTGCTAGGGTATAAATTTTGCGATTTCAATAATTGCATAATTTAAATTTCGCTTAATGCCCCTTTCTAAGGTCGGAAAAAGTGGATCGAGAACTCAGGGCCCGATAAAAGCTATTTCATTTCGACTAAGTCCCACATTAGACCCCAAAGAAAAACAAGCACGAACTTTCTCAGATTCTTTTAATTTAAAATTATTTTATTCAAAATATTTAATTGTTATTTATTTCTATGGTCGGACGAGGATTGATGTGTCTTTATTACAAAAGTGTAAAAAAATATTTTCGCCTGTAAACAAAAATTCGATTATACCGCAAAACAAGAAGACGTATCGGGTTCCGCTAATTATTCCGCCGAAGTCTGAAACTCAACTTTTTTTAAAAATATTTAATTTTTATTTATTTCTAAAGTGGGCGAGGATTGATGAATCTTCTTGTTAAAATTGAATCAAAAAGTCGCAAATTACAAGGGCGAAGTGCGCGATTTTCAATCAGATTTACTCAAACGAAGCATTTAAAAAATATAAGTTAGCATTCAGTCGTGCTGAACCTTGTAGTGCAAGAAAAGTAGTACTTTTAAAGCTATTTTTAAAAAAAATATTTAAAATATCTAAAATTTATACCAAAACAAACTATGTTATCTACTAATTTTTGGGATATCTTACTATTTTGCTTCAAAACATTACTTACTCAATAATTCATTTAAGATTAATTCTCCCATTAAGATATCTCCCATCAAATCCAATTTTAAAGAATTATTCGAATAAGAATGACAATGAAGACTGTTCCAGACAAGTCTCACTAAGTATACGAGTAGGTGACCACAACTTGACAACAGAAAACCTAGACGAATAGTATTTTCGTACGTTGATTAAATAGTATTTATACACTGACCGGCAAAAAATTCCGCCCACTTGTAATTTAACTTGATTTGTATATATTTTTATATATTAAATCAAAGTTTCACTTTTTTAGCGTTTAATAATTGAGTCTTTGTCTAAAAAGTCAAAAAAAAAAGTAAATTGCTAAGTAAAATGAAAAATAAATTATTTTTTTAACAAGACGGACAGATAAAATTTGTTTTAGATTTTTAATTAACATTTCAATATCGCGTATTTCCTCCTCTTGCCATAATTACATCACGAAGACGCCTCGGCATACTTTCTACCAGTCTGCAATTGTCTCTTTGCTGGAGGTTAGCCTATTCTTCACGAAGATCTTTCAAGATCGTGGAGTGTATCAGAAAGTGATAGACGTGCTCTTGTTCGTCTTTTGAGGTTATCCCATAAATGTGCAATTGAGTTGAAAACTGGCGAAGGGCTGGCCAGGCTAAGACCTTGATGCTATGCTGTGGAAGGTACGTTTGTACTAAGCGAGCGACATGAGGACGGGCATAATCGTGCATTAGAATAGCATTGTCGCTGATTTCATGGAGGATAACCAACGCATGATGTTCCATAATTTTATCCACCGAGTAGCAAAGACCGTCTACGAATAACAACCAACTCTGTGCGTCTCTCCATTGAAATTCCCGGCCACACCATCACTGAGCTACATTGAAAAGGTTGGCTCTGGGAAAAATTACAGGCTTCCTACCATTCATTTCGCATTCTCCACATTTTTAAATGCCCATCTAGAGATCGTAGAGCAAATCTATACTCATCTGTGAAAAGTACAGCAGACCAATCATCCAAAGACCGATGGCTGTGTTCTAGAGCAAATGCGAGCTGTGCAACTCTGTGTGTTCTGGTCATGTCTGGTCCTCTTACGGGACGTAATGCTATCACTCCATACTGATTTAATCTTCTTCGAGCAGTGCGTTCAGAATTTTGGACACCTCGAACTTCCTGGAGCTGATGAATCGCTTGAACAACAGTAAGGTTCCCGTTTCGCAAAATTCCCAAAGTCAAAAAACGGTCATCCTGTGGTTTCTACCCTAGGGCGTCCTGAACCGGGCCTTCTATGGTAGGACCCAGCTTCTTGAAGACGTCTAACGGCGTCTCGCAGTGTTTCGTTGGGAACTCAGATGTTAATAGCCGCATACCTGATGGAACGTCCATCATCATTAACTGCCACACCATGCGCAACATCATCAGCACTAAGTGGCATTTTTAAGTTTAAAAACTGAAATTGAGAAAATAAAGATGAAAACTAAACAGTTTATTGCTTCAGAATTCAAATGAGACTGAATAAACATTTTAAATCCGTAAAAATTAAACATTGGAAAACTCCTTCGTCCTTGTTTTGGATTAAGTGTGTTTACCTCTAATTGATATTCCCACTTTAAAACATAGCATAAACAAATATTTATTGATAAAAATAATGAGACAAATTAAGGGCGGAATTTTCTTTTGTCGACAAAATGAAAAAAAAAATCAATTGGATGGAATTTTTTGCCTGTCTGTGTATATTGTATTATAAATCTAATACTGTAATAGCACAACATAAATTATTAACTTAGAAGGATAGGATAATAGATATTGGTCTTTAGAACGCTTCTGAAAAAAAATCTATCTAAATGATACATTTAATGTATTAATTTTTCTTCTCTATGCCATGAAGCATGAAGAGCAACGACCAAATTAAAAAAAAAACAAATATATATATATAAAGTTTAGGTTTTATAGTGTTGTTATTTGAATTGCGTATTTAAATAGTTGCATAGAGCAAAGTTAATTTTTTTCATTAATTTTACCTATTAAAGAAATAGACGAGGAAATGTCAACAGTTTAACTGTCAAACGCCAAGAATTGCGTCCACGTATACGACAAAGTGAGAAACTTGACAGCAGAACAGCAATCGATCAATACTATCGATCTTTTTTTTTGTTATTGTTGTTTTGCGAATGAACAACAAGAAAAATATAGTTGTCAAAAGTCGAGAAGTAAGTAAAAATACGACAAAATGAGAAATTTGACAGTAGGACCACTTGACTGATAACGGAAATGAATTGGTGTGGGCAATTATATACTTTTCCTATCGAATTTTTTTTCATTATGGTTTTGTGAATAAAAAACAAGAAAATTAAAATTAGTTAAATTGGAAAATTATATTTAGATTTCAAGATTTTGAAAGGTCTGTTGATTGATACTATCTTTCCATTAATCTTATTATCTACATATTACTGTACAACTGGTCGTTATTTATTGAATAAATTATTTAAATTCGTCGTTCCACACCTGGAATATAGTTAGTACATATTATTTTAATTAAAGAAACGGTCCAATAGTCGTGAGTTTAGTTGTCAAAAATCGAGAAGTAACGACAAAATGAGAAATTTGACACCAGAAACACGTGAATAATAACGAAAATGAATTGTAGTTAAAAAATAAATTTTTCCGTTCAATTATATATTTTTTTGCATTATTGTTTTGCGAATAAACAACAAGAAAATTATCATTAGTTAAATTATAAGTACACGACACATGAAGTGTGCGACCAAGTGAATTATGGAGGAAATGTAAACTTTTTATTACAATTTTTTTTCCATTATCATTTTGAGAATAATAAAAAATAAGATTATAACTTGTCTAATTGGACACTTCAATTTAGGTTTTTATGCTTTTAAAAGCCCCTATGTTGGTGCATCCTTCAATTATCTTTTATTTATTAATTACTATAAAATTGGTCATTATCTATTAATTAAATTATTTAAATTCGTCGTTCCACAAAGGAAATTTAGGTTTTTTTAAATAGTAATTTTATCCAATAAAGAAACGTTCGAGAGAACTGTCGAAAGTCGAGAATCGCAGGCTCATGATAAAGTGAGAAACTTGACACCTGGTACGCAGAATTATAACGGAAATGAATTGTAGTGAACATGTGAAAAGTATAACTTTTTCTGTCGTTTAATTTTTTTTCCTTCTCGTTTCGCGAATAAAAAATTAGAAAATTGTTATTAGCTAAATTTAAGACGTTATTTAGGTTCTAAAAGACCTGATAATGGTGATACTATCCTTCTATTACCTGTTACTATAAAACTGGCCATTATATATTCAATAAATTATTTATATTCGTCGTTCCCCATCTGGAATTTAGGTGTTATTAAATAGTAATTTTAGCTATTAAAAGTAGTTTAGCTGGCAAAAGTCGGGAATCACAGTCTATGTAAGTATATGGCAAGGTGAGAAACTTGACAGCAGGAACACAGTATTAGAAAATTGTTATTAGATAAATTTAAGACTTTATTTAGGTTTTAAGGTTTCAATAGCCCTGATGATGGTGATAGTATCCTTCTATTACTTGTTATTACCTATTACCATAAAATTGGCCATTATCTATTTAATAAATTATTTAAATTCGTCGTTCTCCTAAATTCTAGGTTTTTTAAATAGTAATTTTACCTTTTAAAAGTAGTTTAGCTGTCAAAGGTCCGGAAACATTTTGCATTAAGTACATGGCAAAGTCAGAAACTTGACAGCAGGAACACGTGAATGATAACGGACTGTAATTGGAAAACCTCCTTGGTTTAACCTTCTCACGGTCATTGATACTCTCATAGTAAACATTTCAGCGTGATTTTCACAGATATCCTTTTTGGCTCAATCCGAACACCGGGAGGCGATTTATTTTGCCTTTTTGTCGACAAACGCGTGGTAATATATTTTATTCTTTATACAGAAAAGAAGAGAACATAAAGCTGACCGCCGGAGACGTTTCCCTCGGATTTGCCACTTCCCGAGAGTCTCATCGACATCTGGGATCGGCCGAGACATGTCTGCCTTATCTCGTGGAAAACATGAAATTCGGAGATAAATTGTCATAAAAAGCGATATCGAGAGTGGAAAACGCTCAGGCCAGTCAATTACATAAAGGGGGAAATATTTTCTCAAATCAAATGTTGTTGAGACAGAGGAAGAAATGGGAGAACACGAGGAGGTCTGTATTCACTCCTTTCCTTCATTCTCTTTATTGCTTATTCTGATTACATTTACTTTTTTTTATTCTGTAACCTCGTCAAAAGGTTAATAACAATTTCATTCATATCATTAAAAGATAATTCCGTTATCTTTTTACAAGGAGTAGTAAATAAGAGGCTGAAATCCTTTATTTATCCTATGCTTCTAACCTTGACTCTTCTCTGTATAAAAAACAAAACTGTTGATGCTTGCTATAAATGCATCGTGATATGTCTTATTACCAAGTCTGTCAATTGTTAACGTTGCGCTTTGACCTGGCTTAATCGTTTCTATTCGGCGTTTTCAGAGTCCGGGTGTGCTCGTAGCCAGTGTGGTTTACGCTTTGATGAACCAGGGGTACCACGTATCGAGGAATGTGAGAACCCAGTGGTTTTTCAAGCATCTCAACAAGAAGATCAACCTCCAGCCGATAAGTGATGTGCGTATGTTAACTCGTAATGTCTCCTGTTCTTTGGGGAAAAATTATGTTACAGTTAAGATAAGGACCCCTCTGAGTAGGGGACGCCTCCGTTTACAGGGCAGTTACATGGAAGATTAATTTTCTATGAATTCTACACCTCTAATTAGGGGACACTCTAAATAAAGGACAAATACACTCATGTCATTCTGCAATCTATGAAGTACAGCGATATCTCTGATAACAGACTCCTCTCTTTAGGGGACACCTCCATTTTCAAGACAGTTACATGGAAGATTATTGTTGTATTTATTTAACTCTTCTAGTTGGGATACACTCTAAATAAAGGACAAGGACACTCATGTCATTCTACAGTCTGAAACAGTACAGGAAACCTCTGATTAGGGGACACCTCTGTTTACAGGACAGTTACATGAAAGATTTTTTTTTGGCATTAAACACCTCTTCATAGGAGAGACTAAATAAAGTACAAGGATGTAGTTTATTTAGTCATTCTAGAAATCTCCGATAAAGGACTCCTCTTTTTATAGGACAGTTTCATCATGGAAGATTAATTTTTTATTTATTTAACACTTCTACGTACAGTACCCTCTAAATAATCGACAATTCGTGCCGTCCTACAGTCTGTGAAGTACCTAACTGAAACCTCCAAAAAGAGGCATCTCTATTTAGGGGACACCTTCGTTTATAGGACAGTTAGAAAATTTCTTTTGTGGATTGTTAGTTTTCCTGAACCTGTAATTTCATCATTACAGATCATTTTGGTCTGTCTATCCTCACTGGATTGGTCTGTGAGATTCATGTAGGTATTTTACCATCACAGAGTTCACTAACGATAGTGAAATGCTGAAATGCATCTGGCAGATTAACCTAGCAATGATAGGGATGGCTAGACAGACCAAAATGATGGAATGACCAAATTACTTTAGTTCATCTTGAATGACAGACATCTTTGTAAGTATAGATTCACATTGAAAATTGCCAATCTTAAAACATACACTTCCATGCAATAAGAAATACACACGTGTGAACTCACAGACAAACAAAAATTAAATTATAATTAGTTAAGTTTGAGACTTTAATTTGCACATAGAGGATTTAGTTTTTAAAATATTTATTTTACCTGTTAAAGACATGGTCGAAGAGGTGAGGAGAGTTTCGCTGCCAAAAGTCGAGAATCACAGTCTCTCTCTGACAAAGTGAGAAACTAGACTGCAAGAACAAATGAATACTAACAGAAATGAATTGAACATATCAAAATTATAAACTTTTTCTGTTTTTTTATCTTATCATTTTGCGAATAAACAATAAGAAAATTATAATTAATTAAATTTGAGACTTTATTTATATTGTACAGATTCGAAAGGCCTGATAATGGTAGTACTATACTTTCATTACTTTTTTTAACCTATTACTATAAAATTGGTCATTATTTTTTCAGTTAATATTTAAATCCATTGTACCATACCTGTAATTAAGTTTTTTAATATTATTTTACCTATTGAAGAAATGGTCAAGAAGGTAACAAGAGTTTACCTGTCAAAATTCAAGAATCAATCGTAGTTTCTCTAAGTACATGATAAATGAGAAACTTGATTGCCGGAGCGCATGAATTATAACAGAAATGAATTTGAGTGAAAATTATAAACTTTTCATTTATATTTTTTCTTCATTATTTTTTTGCAAATAAACAGCAAGAAAATTATAATTAGTTAATTTTGAGACTTTAATTTACATTATATAGTTTTAGAAGCCCGATGATGGGGATGCATACCTTTCTTTTACCTATTACTATAAAACTGGTCATTATATATTTAATCAGTTATTTAGATTTTTCATTCTGCATCTACAGAAACGGTTTAGGTGCAGGCGAAAGTTTAGCTGTCAATAGTTGAGAATCGTATTCTCTCGAAGAACCATTAATATGCCATTTGAAATTTTATTCCTAATTTAACACCACATAATATCTTGTAATTGTTGAAATTATATTCTGAAATAATTTTAGCCTGGTTCAAGCATCTTGACAATAACTACAGCCATTAACGATTGCACATGAAAATCTTACTGTCTTAACAGGAATATTCCCAGGGTACCACAGCATCCATTGAGCTTCTCAATTCTTCAAAGAGGGGCTTGATTCCCTGAGTCGTCCTTGGGATTTTCTGATAGCTAATTCAGTAGATATCGATTATAAAACTTTATTAGCATTTCTATAAAGAAACTAACCCCTCCTCCTTCAAGCATCTTAACAGGATGATACAGATGATGTATAACGTAATAATTTTACATAACAATAATAACTTCTGTAGAGGATTTTTTCAACAAAAACATAAGGAATTGACTTGGAGGTCGCAAGATGTTAATTTATCATCCAGTACAATTATATATTCTAACTATAACTAATTTCCAAAGTTGAGAGTAAATTGACATACGTGTAAATTTAACTTTTGAAAGTCAATTTATTTTACTTACTTAAATAAATAAATTTGTTGATTTATTTGCTAATGATTTCAAAGGTTTATTTTCAATATTGATATAATATATAAGTAACAAAATGACCAGAAAATTCAGTAGTTTACTAAATATTATATTATTTATTCACAAAACAAATCTTTGTTGATACTATAAACAAGTTGCCGAGTCATTTGTTAATATTTATATTTGTCAGCTAGAATGTGTCTGATCAAGCTAATTTGCCTATTCTTGTTGGATTTATGTGTTAAGATTTAGCCGTCTAGATTATAAACAGTATGTTATTTCATCAATTTTGAACAAACCAACTGCCAAAGAAGGCAAAATGTGACAGACCAAGACTTGAACTAGAAGAAACTATTTTCTTTCACTTAAAAAGCATTTTTTATTCAAGGTTTATTCCATTTTAATGCAATTTATCCGACGACAATTCAGATTTTTCAAAGTATTCAAATATCAGGAACTCCATTCTGTATTACATACTGCGTATTTATTGGGTAGTAATTTATAAATTTATGGAATATTGATTTTGTATATGTAAAGTCATTGAATTTTAAATGTTCCCCAACGAGACATTTCGTATGGCATGGGTTTTACGCATATTAAAAAATTTATGTTGCCAAGTTGTTCTTTGTCAATTTATAGATAACCCAAGACTGTGAAATCCAGATTTTGTCTGTTTACCCCCAAGATCCACCAAGTGACTGGGGCCCAGAAAACAGTTTAAGTTACCAATATCTAATTACAACATCAACAAATGTGGTTTATCTGTCTAAAGTCAGCAAAGCCGTGTACTGTCTGGATTTAAGCCCCTCGATATCAGCCGTGGTAAGTTTTTGCATTTTGTCTCCATAATTTTTCACTTGACTAGAAAACAATTAATTTAAAATAAATTCTTTACCAATACTTTTAAATAATATGTACTTAAAACATATTGTCATATAAATTTTAATAATTTATTGTAGGATATCCAGCATGGGCAGGTGATGCTTGATGAAATTGTTTCGGCTGTTAGGCATAGTATCGAAGGGGTTGTCAAACCTGTAAGTTATTTGCATTGAAAAAAAAGAAAACCAAGCTGAAACATATTGTTATTTTTTATTTTCTCTGCAGTTTTATGTACCTGGGACTGATATTATTTTTGAGCCAGATTTATTTGTCACAGTCATAGTCCATACACCATTTTTCACCACACCAGCCCAACAGGTATATAGAATTAAATTATTATATGAATTGTGAATATGTAGTTTTTTTCCATTGATCATTTCAGATTTAGTGCAAATGATTTTTTTTATGAACAATTTATTTATTTTTTTAATTTGCACTAATTAGAGTGAAGAAATGACAGTTGAACAATTTTTTTTTTTTAATCTAGTATATTTTCAATTGGTTGCTCCTGGAAGTAAATGAAGATGCAAAACATTTTTTTTCAGTCCTTTATTTATATGTTTGTAGATAAATTGTTTTTTTACCCCATACTAGCATGTATTTGAAGTTTGTTGTTCTGTTATACCATACGCAAATTTATTATGAGTAGAAAGAAGTATAAAAACTTCTTAGAACTCTAATTTTAAACGGAAGCATCGTTGCCAAACAATGAATATTAATTTGTTTACAACAGGAAATAAAGTTTGCCATCATTGCATATCGGTAAGTCGAAATTCAAAGGGGGAAAATTTCGATCTGACTGAGGTTGATGTTCGACTTGTAGAATTAACAAAGGAACCTAGGGAGATTAACAATATCCCATTGAGAGATTTCTTCAAATGGCCAGCGGGGAGATGAACGTGTAATTCGCACATAAAACCATACTGACAAACAAAAAAAGGACAAAAATGAACACAATCAACAACTTATAAATACACAAACATAAAACATTAAGCTTGAAGAATTCAGAAGAACACAATACAAATATTTTAAAAAAAATATTGATGATCATAAAGCGTGTTATGGGATCTTAAATTCTCTGGCAATAAATACCTTACTTTTTCTCCTGTCTTCCTTCACAATCAATTTAAGCTTTTCACTCACTGAGTTAGTTTTTAGTTTTCCCATGGCCATTTTAACAACAAGAAAAACAAACATTAAACGTAGTACAACTCATAGAGGTGATAATGCTCAAGAGTTGAACTCATAGTTGTGAAAGTCCCCTCACAGGCTCATTTCTCTGTTTGACTTATTGCAATGTTCCTGGTATTTGGCCCAAGTTCGACTTACTGGAGAAATATTTACCTAAAGTGATATAGGACCCCTGAATTTATTTGACTTATCAAAATTCTATTTATTGAGAGTTGACTGTATTAAGTTACATCATATATTTAAAATTAATATAGCACTTCAATTTTTTTCTTATTAATTTTCAGCTTCTAGATGACATTCCTGTCATAAAAATGTTCATAATTTTTACACATTTAAATTTTTATTAAATTTCCATAGTATTGATAATTATTTTAAATGATATCATCTAGTTTAGCTGCCAGGGTGTAACTAGTCTGTGCGTTAGTTTTTTTAATTGAATTTATTATTATTTATTATATCTATTACATTTTGTGGTCTGATTGACCAAATAATTTCTTTCAATTAATTAATCTTTTTGTGAAAGGTATTGGTTGAAATGGAAAAGTTAGTGTCACGAGCGGGATTTGAACCCACGACCTTCGTCTCAATACGCGATTCACGATAGCTCAAGTGGTTATAGCAGCAGCGTATTGAGCCAAAGGTCGTGGGTTCGAATCCCGCTCGTGACACTAACTTTTTCATTTCAACCAATACCTTTCATAAAAAGTTTAATTAATTGAAAGAAATTATTTATTATAATAAGGTAAGCATTGAATTACTTTTAATGTTGGAGGGTTAAAAAAAAAATGTGTAGACTTTTCTAACATCATGAGTATTAATGTTGATTTCACCAAACAATTTTTATTTTATATTCCAGTTATCTTATAGAGCTTATCTTTTTAAACAACAGTTCTGCTTAAAATGTCAATAAATATTTTATTGAAATAAAAAGATTGTGAATGTTTTTTTATTTATTTAATGAGATCTGTACGAGTATTTGATCTGGAAAGTAAAAAAAAAAAAAAAAAAAAAAAAAAAAAAAAAAAAAAAAAAACTTCAAGGGCATTACATTTATGAGGTGAGACAATAATTTGATGAAGTAAAATGATTGTTAGATTTTCCCTTGAGATCTGTTGTAAGATGGACGTTTTCTGATCATCCTGGCCGGCCTATACATTCTGCTTGTCTGCCAGATGCAGTAAAAAAACACCAAATTTTGAAATGCATTGAACAGTTAAAATGAGCAAGAATAGGCATACCACAATGATTGAAGATGATAAAGCTTCGCCGAAGTTTTTTTCATCTATCACAAAACATTGAAAGTCAGCCTCACCATCAATAAAAAAAATTGGGAATTGACCTCCTCTAGTATGCTCTGACCTTGTACAATACTGTATTCTTTATTATTAAGTTTTTAAAATTTGTATTTAAATTATACTCTTTTTTTCTCTAAGACTCTACAGCTAGCTTTTATATTGAATACTTAAATTTCTATTCAAAACATTCCCAATCTTTTTAATTCTGAATCAATAATTTCTCATTTTATTTATTTATGTTTATAGAAAGTTTATAAATTTAAATCTTAGTTTTTGGAACACACATTGATCCTAATAAGCCCTAAAAATTTTTATGATAATTATGTTTCATTGAACTTAGATCAGCAATTTGGCAATTCAAATAATTTTATTGTTATAAGAATTTGAATTGGTGATGGACCTTTCCTGAGCTTTGTGATTGTTTTAGAGTTTTTCTAAGTCAGTTAATGTACTGTTTGCTGTTGTAAAAATAACTGCTTAGTAGGCTTTTTACACTAAAATTGAATTATGTAGTTTGTTTAGATTGAGTGAACAACTAAATTTTAAAACTGTCTGATATATCATTCAGGAACAAATAAAATATTGAATTCATAATAATATATTAACTATTCATAATTTATTTGTTCACCACATTCGAATTATAAAAGTTTCTTCTGTAGAGTAAACACAAGGTGATGGAATTTTCACTGTATTATTGCTTCATTCAATATTTTTTTAAACAATGTAGCTTTTGTAAGAGTTGCTTGTGGTTTGTGTTAACTTCTTTTTTTTCTCTCACTTTTCCAATGATGCATCAGTCAGGAACCAAACACCTCATGTTTATAGCTGTATAACAATTATTTTGTTTAAAGTACATGAATCTATTTAAAGTACATTAGAATTGTAATGAAAATAGTTTTTATTTTTATTACATTTTTTAGTTGATTGATTTACAACTGGGAATTAAGTAATAAAGTAAATCTCTGGAAATATATTATGGCTAATAGTGTAGCTAACAAAGTTAATTATTAAACATATACAATATTTTTACTAATTTTTAGTTTCTCACTTTCAATTGTTTTTAAGTGATATTTGAAATTAAACTGAAATAAAAAAGAATATTCATTTGTTTTGTTGCGGCCACCAGCCTTCAAACTATAAATCATTGTTTAGTAGATTGACAACTTGAAACTAACAATTGCATTTTTTTTTTTTTCAAAAGTTGTATTTCTAAGTTTCAATACATGAAATTAAACAATTACTTTACATAGTTACATTGGCTTTTGTACTTAGGGTAAACTTCCATGCATTCGAGTTTTCCATAAGTATAAGTTTTTTCACATTTTTAATGTTATTTAATTAATATGTTGTAATAATTTATTATGACTTATATTAAAAATTACTTATCTATCTTATCTTTTACATGTAAATTATGATATAAACAGTTGAAATTATTTTATATACATAGCTTAAGAAAGGGGCGCCGGTGGCCTCAATGGTTGTTTTGTGATTTATTAGGTGTAATTTAAATACTTTACATTTTATTTTAGTAAATGAGGTAAATTTAAATTGTATAATCATCCTAAATTAAAAATAAAATGAAACCTTAAATTCCGAAGTTTTGTTTCATTTATATTTCAAATCTTCTAAATGGTTTGATTTATAATTATGATTTCGTTGTTCATAAATATAATCAAATGCTGTATTGTGTTTTATTTTGTTAAACTATGCATAGTTGTATATGCAGTTTTGTACATAAAAGCTTTAAGTTTTTCATGGGCTTGCAAGCTTTGATAACAGGTTTTTAGGCAAATTTTAGATTTACTTACAATTTGTTGCTTTCTTTATTGAAAACTTGCAACACATTTAAGAAAGCATATGCAATTGTATTTCTAAAATGCAAACAACATAACTTGATTTTTCTAAATTAATTTCTTAACTATTTTTTTTTTTTTTTTTTACTAGAATTGTAATTTTTTATATAAATATCCAGCTATGTCTGTATAATGGATTTCAAGTCAAGCTCACACTTATTTAACAATTTAATATTGAAACAAGTGCAAAATATTACAAATACTACATAAATTTTACAAATTTTGAACTTCAAACTGTTCATTCTCATGTTATGTTGTTTCAATTCTAGAATGAGCTTCCTTTAAAAATGTATGTAAACATTTCATCAAATTTTTTGTGAAACTTGTAAATTGAAAATTTGTTTCACCTTGCATTTTATGCAATAATTTTTAAAATTTTAGTCGAAGGTTGCCTAACAATTGATAAACAATTCAGCTCCTGTCACTTATTGAGTGTCGTACAAATCTGTACACTATGGAATGAAACTTTGCGATATTGTTTTCTTTATTAAGAACTCACAATTTATTAATTATTAAAAATATATAATTAATCTTAATGCATTAATTAAATTGTTTATACAGTAGAACTTCTATTATATCGAGTAATGACAAGGAGGGGATCCATGGATAATTTAAAAACCGTATATTTTTCATTGATCCAAATACATCTGATAAAGGCTAATTATTAAGAAATTTGTAAAAAAAAATATTATTTTTAAAGATAGACTTTGTAATTTACAAAGTCAAAAACATCTTCTTTTGTTTCCCTTTGCAATTTCGTGAATTGTTTGCTCACCAACTCTGACCCTCAGACCCTCTTCAATATATTTTATTATTAATAATTTTTGTTCCATTGTTAATACATGTTTTCCTTTTTTCGGCCATTTAGGATCGAAAGCAAAATAGATGTAGATTTTCTTTGGAAAAAAAAACGCACTGCTTAATTGGATCCCCGGAAAATGAGAGTTCTGCTACATAATTATTACTAAAATTATAACTTTTTTATTCTAATTAACTCTTTTTAACTTCAAATTTAACATTTTTTATTTCAAATGAACCCTTTTTATTTTCAAATTAACCATTTCTTTAAAGCTATAAAAAACTTAGGATATTGTATGAAATATAAGCTTGTAATTCCTGTGTATTTGAGGTGTTTTTTAAATAATTGTGCTCTTAGAAGAACATATGAAAACTTAAGAGATTGTAAATCATTATAAAAAGTGTACATTTAACACAAAATAAATGGGCTTTTACAAGACTATATAAAAATTAATTACAATTAAAATTTGAAATTATATAAAATTAAAGGATTCTTCTTTTAAAATTAAAAATTTTAAAAATATAAAATGGGTTCTTATGCCAATACCACATGACAATTTATTACAATTAACATTTATTTGAGATANATCATTTGTTTTTATATCACTATTTTATATTAGAAAAAATTGCAAATTACAGGAATTATACTTTACTTGCTTATATTTCATACCACTTCCTGTTTTTTTTGTTTTTTTCATGATTTAATAAAAAGGGCTAATTTGAGGTTAAAAAGAGTATCTGTTGGGGAAAAGTTATAGTCATTACATACAATTTATTGAATTATAAATGAGAGAGAAAATTAATTTCACTTGTATTTCTTTTTTGTTGAGTTTTTAAAAAACACCTTCCAGACCCCGGATTTGAGAAAAGGAGCAATATAAATTATATTTATTATGATTTATTTTGTCTTATTTTAGGCAACTTTTTATAATGTGTTCTTTAATAGTAATTATTCAATTAATAAGTTTCACAACAAGTTTGAGCTTGTGTGAGTTTGTTCCTGTTACCTTGGTTGGTCACTTGATGTATCAAAGTACAACAGTTGCACTTCTCCTTAAGCATGGATCTTCCGTAGAGTTAGAGCATGCCTAGTTTGGATTTATATGTGACTTCAGGTCTTGGTTCAGGGTTGGAGAGTTACCGCAGAAAATGTCGAGGAGTTTTTATCTGCCATTATTAAACAGCTAGAATTGTTAGAGGACACCATCGCTGATGTGTCTGCTTTAGTCCATGATGAAATTGAGTCATTAAGACAAAAACAGGTTTGTAATTGCATACTCTGTCAGTGTCGTATATATCAGATATTTTCTTTTGAATACAGGCTGAGTCGGAAAGGCTGGTTGGAGGACTATTTGAAGAAGTCAATGACAAACAGCCTGGTCTACCACCGGGTATTTCCATGGTCAGCCCTGACTCTGGATTCATCAATTTACTCAGATATGGGATGCTTGCTTTACGATTATTGCCTTCAAGCAATTTATCGAGTAATGAATATAGAAATTTTTGTAATAAAAATAGTTTTCATCTTACCAACTGAAGGAATTGTAACCATTTTTTTAGATCTTATAGTAGTTACCGATGGAATGATAACCCTTCCAGACATTCATGTACTCGATTCAGTTTTGACTCAACTTAGAAGCAATGCAGTAGCTGTCTCATTTTTGCATGTCGGCAGCCAATTCCACCCACATTCGAGTCATGGTTTAGTACCTTATTCAGAACTGATGCAATTCATTGCTTCAGCTACGCTTGGCGCTTATATCCCTTCACCGTATTTATACGTTGGTTTCAGACTGTTTATAACTAATTTGTTCCCTCAATATTAATGGGAAAATTTATTTTTAGAGTCAAGATAAGAGCATTGACATTTATCAGGAAGCGTTCATTACCTGGAGCTTTAGGAGAAAAGCAGTTCAAGAGTTTTCAACACCCACACCTCGGCATGGGGATTGGAATATAAGGTTAAAAAAACAGACAGTTTTAATAAATAGGATAATATAAAAAAAAAGCAATATATTCATCTTAAACATTCTTGTTTCAGTAATCAAGGATTTTATGGCAACCGAGAACCACAACTCCTAGTAAAGAAACAGTCTGAAGATCATCTTAATGCCAGTTTGACTAGCATACTTTGCTGTCGACTCCATGAAGGGTACATGATAAAGGTAATAGAAATCATATTAAGTTGCTCTGTAGTGCGGAAAATAAGAAAGACTTACAAACAAATAAATCAGTAATGATTCTCACACATCCATTAAAAACAATACGTAACATTAATTGAAACTGAACTGGTGAAAACAATAAATTTTACAACTGGATAATTTTCTAATATAGCCTTTAAATACTTCACTTTTTAGTTTTGCTGTAAGTAGTATATTTGAATATTGGATTAAATATAAAGTGGTTTGTATAAGACCCACAGACAAATAAAGTTAATATATAATTAAATGTATAAAACATACCTTTATTGGTAGATTGGAACTTAGATCGAGGTACACTGGCTTTAAGCTGATCTTTGTAGATGGGTCTAAGACCAACAAAGGTATAGCGTGTGCTGTGTATTGTGAGGATCCAATTCATGGTGCTCCCTCCCCACTGCACCATAATGTTTACAAAGCATAATTGTATACAATTTGGCACACGCTTGAGGTGATTTGAGGCTTGCTGGCCCTTCTTACCTTGTCTGTAAGAACACTAACCAGCGGCTATAGATTAATTAGTGAAGGCATCTGGAAACATAAGGGAAACAATATAGGACACTCGAAAATTCTACATTTACTGAGTAAGGTTAATAACCAACTACTAAGTGTTAGCGACAAAAAGGTTAAAACACCTTTGGGGAAAAAACACTTTCAGGTAGTTACTCCATGTGATTATAACTATAATGCGGATGATGACCATAATAGCATAGATTGCTTCACCGATGGCTCACTCATTAAGGACAAGGGAAGCGGTGCTGGTATACATATACCCAAATTAGGAATCAGCATCTCCTCCCCTCTTGGTAATAACACCTCAGTCTTTCAGGCTGAGGTCCGGGCCATCAATGTTTGCTGCAGAACACTCATGGATAATAATACTAAGGGAAAAGATATTANCCTCAGTACAGTTACTGTTGTTCATGACAGGTACTCCATACCTTCTTGTTGTGCTCTTATTGGAGAGATACCATGAACTAGTGCGTCTCAGGAAAATGGTGGTTGTTGTCTGGATACCCGGACACATAGGTCTGCAGGGTAACAAAAAGCCATAAAGCAGTTAAGGCCGGGAAGTCCCAGCCCTTGACCTTAAAAATGGAACACACAAAATATGATTGGTGGGCCAGATCAGCAGAGAAGCTCTCACGTATCAAAAGCACTGTCAATAGGTGGCCCTCGGAGGACCTGACTTGTAGAAGAAGAGTCATCCACACCTGATTGAGAATAGGCCATGCACCTACTTTTGGGCCGATGCCTACAGAAAATAGATGCTAATGTGTCCACTTAATTGAAGTGATTCCTTGGCTCCGTATAGAGAGCGTGTAGGATACCACCCAATATGAGAATCGTGCTTAGCACTGCGACGAGTATTTGTGTTTTCTGGTCTGATTCTTAAAGGAAACAGGGTTGGTTTTTGTATATAGTCTGTTAGTTTTGTGATCCTAACATGCATTGAGAGTGAATGTTTGCATTCGCGTGAATGTGTAGGGTGAGAGGGCCAATGACGGAATATAACCCACCGACCCACAGTTAGGTTAGTTATGTAATAGGTATAAAGGGTGATGGAGGAATATTGAGTACTCCACCACCCTGAGTGAACGGAATGTAAATAAGAAAGAATATAAATTATTGTAAATTACAATTCCAGTAGACCGTGCAAAATTATAGGCTCAACTCTGTACACATGTGAACGTATGTGCGTACAGATGTAGTGTTCAGATTTGAGCTTCTATAAATCAGTAATCAGTAAATATTAAGTATAATAATTTATAATTTTTATTATGTAACATGAATTTTTTTTAGTCTTTTTTANTAATAATTTTAATAAATTACTAATAATATTTATTAAAATATCATCTTTTTTTTAATAAGATGATGATGATGGGTGTAAATTCCCAAACATCCAAAAAATGTAATGTAAAAATAAAGCAGAAAATTTAAAAAAACCTTATTAAAAAGTTTTTTTTTAATTAAAAAAAAAAATTATAAAATAATTTATAACTATTGCAGTGGAAAGTATTTTGTTTATTTAAGTTTTGAGTAAGCCAATATTATTATTTTAACACTTTCCTGCTGAATTCCTTTAAATTTTGCTGCAATACAAAGTTTAATAGTTTCTACATGCACCTATTTGTTAATATTAATTATGTTTTAGAATGTTCATTTACGAGGGAATGATTTAGAAGTAACGATGATGTTACCATGGTCAAACCATATCTACCTGGAATACATAATTACCTCGGAATGGCCTCCGGTTGCTGCAAAAAATTTGGTTCATTATGTTCTCTCCATAAAAGGTTTGTGGAACAAAAGCTATCAAAGAATTGGAACATTTTTATAAAATAATAAGAAATTATATGTCTTGCATTATTATTATTTTTTTTTTTTTTTCAGCACCTTATGAATTTTTGCATGATATCACATGCTTAATGAAAAAACCATTCCAGTCTCCTTATAGACAAGCGGTTGTGTCAAGGTTTTGGTGTACATTGAAGACATTGTCACATACTGACATTTTGTTATCGCATTTGGATTCCTTTTCTGAAAATACAATGGCCTACACAATACCTGATAGTATAAGGAACGGGATGCCACTTTTTTATCTTCCATCAAGCTCTTCCCCACCAGAGCTGTCTTCCAGGTAGATTTAAAAAACTATCACGTATCCACTTCATGGAAAAACATTGAATCATGGATATGTAACCTAACCCAACCCAAAATAACCAAACCCATGCGAACTCCAGTAACACGAAATCGATGTAAAAATGTCATGTCTAAAAAATTAGTGTATCCAGCCCATAAACATATCCATGATAATAATATATATATGAAGTTTTATGTTATAACAATATAATAAACACATTTTTTCCCTCAGTGGTTCTTCATGTCCACAATTTGCTCAATTTTGGCGGCCAGTAGTTGTACTAGAGCCAAGTGTATGGCAAAAGTGGCTGCACACTCATAGATTAGGACTTATACTCCAACCAGACAGACCTTTGCCAAATTCGCTGCACACTGTGGCTAACAATCCAAGAGTTCACGTTCTGCAATGTCGACAAGCTGAAGCTGCGCTTTATTGTTCTTTAAAAAAATTAACAACTTTTGTTTTGATCGAAAATCATTCTTACATAAAAATTATGCCAACGTAAGCATTTGTATTGATTCATGACAATGTGAAGTTGTAATTATATTTTATTATCTTATATTTCCAGTGATAATGAAAAGGGACCAAACTGGTTTTATATTGTAAGGGTAACGTCAAAACCTCCTTGTGCTGTGATACATATTGCTTTCTTAGGCGGCACCCCAGGAAATTTGAGGCATCAGGTTTGTACAAATTTGTCAATCAAGTAGAAAAACACATCTTACCTGTCGATATTCACTAATGGAAATATTTTTCATGTGTCCTCAGGTTGTGGAAACGATAAAAGAAGAAATCAGCAATTTAAAAATTCCACAAAGAGCTGACATGAGAAAGTATGATCCTATAGACACACAATTACGTTCTGAAGTCGAATGCTGCACTGTCATACAAAAACCTTTAGAAAAAATACTTATTAGGTAATTTCACTTCTTCTAAGATAATGATATAAGTATTTATAACACAATATAGATAATAACATAATTAATTTAATAATTAAAATCAATGTAGATTATTATTCGCTTGATATTTTTGCTTTGACACATATGAGCAATAACATGGCTTATCACAGCTTAATACTTCATACTGACAATTGCTTAGTTATACAACTGAACTCTTAACACGTTGACTGCGTCCTATGCTTGGCCATTTTGGCGCCCGTGATCGAACCCCATTTATCAAGTAAAATTCCACATAACTCTGGTACTTAAAAATTATGTAAATGTGTAGAGATTAGTGACCGTTAATCGATAGTTATTCAGATATCGTGAGATGCGGTCGGGTGTGATGTAGGTTTCAGAAAAACATTTTCTTTATCGTGCCAACGTTTCGATCTTTTATTGAGATCATCTTCAGGGCTCAAAGTGTTTTTCTTCTGTGTAATTGTGCCATCCTTGCGTGTCGTGTTGAGAGTGCCAATGTTTTTCTGAAACCTACATCACACCCGACCGCATCTCACGATATCTGAATAATTATGTAAATTATTACGTTTATCTAAGCGATATAAATTATATGGCACAACATCTGTGTCCCTTGCAGTGTTAGGTAAATGAAGTAGGAAACTGGTGTTTGTTCAATTTGGGTGTGTTTGGGATAAAAGTCATTTGTAATTTGTACAATAATTTTTACTTTATTTTAAGTAATTGTACAAAATGGATAAATAATTAATTAAAATAACAAAACCCATATGCAGAAAAACAAATTATGTGGTTTTCACAGAATAAATTTTAAATCCTAATGGATTTTTTTTTTTTTTTTTTTTTTTTTTTTGACAGCTATTGATATACGGATAGTGATATTTTTGCCCTTTCTGAGGCGGCCCTAGGAATTTTAGAATGGAATTGTGTAGTGAGTGATCTGGAGATTGAGTTTGAAAAGTATAACTGGGAGGACGCAGACGATTACACTGCACCCAGGACATTTGGCATTACGCACGAGTTAATAGAATGTTAGTTACTTTGTAAAGAATTTCATTAAATAGGGGGCACATTTACTAAATTATCAATTGCTGTAGATGAATATGCTATTTAAAGGATGTAAAATAACATTAAAAAAAGTAAACAATTTCCATTGTAGAAGACTTTTGTGATAAATGAGGTTTCCATGTTAGCAATTTAGTGTTGGGTAATTAACTATAAAAATGTGACACAGAATACATTCCAAGAATTTATATTAGCTTTATGATTTTGTGATGAATTCCTTGCTGAACTGAAGGCACTAGGTCACTTGTTTGGTCTGTCTTTACCCTCGGATTTTCTGAACTATTCAAACATGTTTCAGCATTGCACCATCTTCAGTGATGAACTGATTTTATGTTTAATATTTAAATTCAAAACTTCAGCACTGTGATTGGCTCTAATTTTAATATATGATTTTTTAACAGTTTAGGCATATTTATAAAAGGATGCGTTGCATATTTTCATTTTTAGATATGAGAGAATGCCTTGCGAGTTTGGGACGGTTGTTTTTCCAGATGGCACACAGCCAATCAGTGCTGCAAAACCTCTCAGACCATCTAGCACTTTGATAACAACACTCTCAAGATATTTGCATCACAAAAGATCAATTTGGGACGCGCACACACCTTCAGCATCCCACAATAACATGCTTCCAACAATGTTAACTACCTTAACTAGGTAAAGTTGTATTTTGTTTGGGTAGATAATAATAAAAATGTTTGTTATATGAGCCGCACTTAATTTAAAATTTCAATTTTTAGAATGCGTTTGCAAGAGGGTTTTAGATTCGCCCACTGCTCGGCAGGAATAATTAACATGGTCCTAGAAGTTCAAATGAAAGTAAGTCTTTCAGTAAAAAAATATTTTGTTGAAACTAATGTAGTGAATTATTTTTTTTTACTTAAATTTTATATTTAATTATTAAATAACATATATCATTTAAACCCAATATTTTATATAGTCTTTATTTTTAGTGTTTTGATGATGATACTCCTAACACCAATACTGGGCAAATTCAGCCTTGTATAATTCAATATGTACTTTTTCCACCTCATTTAACAAGTTCCAGCATGAAAGGAAGGTAAGAATGCTTCCTAGATTTTTATAACTTACTTAACAAGTTGATCATTTCACTTAATCTCATTCCTTGTTGTTTTGAACCCAAAATAAAAATAAAATCCAATCTATTTATGAAATGACAGAATTGTTTTAATTAATAGAAACTCTGAAGTAGTGCATGTTTAAAATATAATATACCTGTGTATAATACTTTTAGAATCAATAAGAACAATGAAGAAGCGACAAGTGGTTTATTAATTTTTGATCAGATCTTTCAAGAAACAAGTAGGGACAAGTTTGGCTCATCCAGGTTAATTAAAATTAATAGATATTATCTTTATATTCCTGCTTATATTAGAATAAATGTTTGTTTAAATATTATACTTATTATTAAAATTTAAAACATTTACGTTCCTTTGTTACGTAATATGCATCACATTGTTACTTTTTATAACTCATAGTTAGCGTTTTTCTTTTTTTAGTAACTCTGGTGATGAAGGAGGTGATGAATTAGAGAATGAACAAAGAACCGAATTAATAACGGAATGCTGGATCGAGCCTCAGCATGGAATTGTCACTGGCAGCCCTTCCAATCGGACTTACATGGAAAATCTGCATTATCATCAAATCGCTGATATGGTAAGTTTAGACGATAGTTTTACAACTGTGTTCCTGTGTATTTGAATTTAAATGCAGTCACTATGTCCAAACTACATACTTAGTACGTCTTGACATGCATAATTTGTGAGCGAACGACATAACAAAGTGGGTTAGAATACTTTTTAAGCAAGAAACATAGTTGATATTTGTTTTTTGCACCCTTAAAAAAAATTGATGGAAAAAAGTTTCCTCAAATTTTTTGCCTTCCCCCCTTAGATTTTTACAAAATTCACAAAAATGGTGATAACATTAGAACGACTCCACTGTCCTAAAGGAAACTTTACAGGAATTTGAAACCCAATAAACAACGCATAATGGCTCAAGCTTGGATTTTGTAAACAAATCAGAACCAGAGATCAAAAATAAAACATTTTAGGAGTTTTTGTTAATTTCATCCTTATGTTCTTACTTATAATGACACAAAACATAAATTTTTTTGATACGGGCTGAAAGAAGAGAGATTAAGCTTTACAACAGTTGTAATAATGTTGAATTTGGATAATATTCAGGGTAGTTTGGCATTTTTTAAATGTAAACCAGACCGCTGAGAAAAGAAAATTGCACCTGGCTCAAAAATGTCTTTTTTTCCTATAAAAATTATGCCTTATTTAAGAGCTTTAATAGGCTTAAAACAATTTTGATTTTTTTTTTTTTTCAAAAACAAATTTTTTGGACTACTTTATATAGCTAGCTAGATTTAGATAGCTTTTTCGTTTAAAATAAATAAATAAACTGATGTATAATAATAACCTTGAAATACACCTACAAAGACAGAATTTTGGCTCTGTTAATAAATAAGAACTGGAGATATAAAATAAAACTTTTTTTTCATGCTAATTTTTCACACTTATATGAATACAAAATCTAAATATTGTTAACATAGCCAATAAAGAAGAGACATTCCACTATCTAACAGTTGTAATAATATTTAATTCGGATAGAGTCCTGAGAAGTCATGAATTTTTAAATCTGGAATTTCCTCTTATTACCATTTATCCTATCAACCCTGGCGTTCCTCAAGGAAGTATAATGACACTACTGTACCTTCTAAACTGTTTACTTTCTCCTTCGTCATAATATCATAACCACTTATTTCCTCTCTCTCTTAACCTACTAATCCTGTCATCCCATCTCACTCTCTCCTGCATCTCCCGGCCTAGAACTTCATGCTTGGAGAATCAAGGTCAATGAAAACATATCCATCTTAAATAAAATGAAACCCTTCTTCAACAATATTACTATATTTATATCTACTAGATCTGTATTTAGACGGTTAAGCTTGAACTTGACTAGACCGAACTAGACCGTTGCTTGACTAAAAAAGATTATATTGCACTACTTGCACATGGACATATAGACTAGAACTCTACAGGAGAGTAAAGAACTCCAACCTTAAAAAAAATAAAAAATTTTAAAAAAATTAAAAAATGAAAAGAACCAATCTGCAGATGTACAAATTTGATCTTTATATTGAAATATGATACAATACATGATTATTTTGAGACAGAGTGACATAGCAAAGTAATGTGTAGAGACATAGCAAAGTAAGTTAAATTATTTTTTGTAAGAATCAAAGTTGATATTTGTGTTCTGTCCCCCAAAACACCCTGAATATAAATGTTTAGTAAAATTAATAATATTTTTCCTATACTTTTTGCCTTCTATTTTGAAAATCACAAAAACATAGATTATTACTTTAAAATGGTTCCACTGATCTGTAAGAAACTTAACAGAGGTTTAGAAGTCCTTAAACCTCATGTAATGGCACAAATGTTGCCTTCATAAATAAATTAGAAGCAGAGAAATAAAATAAAACATTTGAGTAGTCATATTTTATTTCTTTTTTCAGTGATAGAAATATTGACGACTTTTTCACTCACGTAACACTATATGGTCTTGAAGAAGAAAGCAAATTCAATTGTTTCTGCCAAGCTTTGGACCTATTTTAAGGTCATCATTGTTTTCCCCTGATGATGACCTTAAAATAGGCCAAAAGCTTGGCGGTAACAACTGAATTTGCTTTCTTCTTCAAGAACCATATCTTGATTCAGAGTGTTCGTGTGTTTTATTTTGTTCAAATTTTTCTCTCATATTGTTGCAAAATCTAAATATTGATTATTTGGAGATCTTGAGATGCGGTATGGTTTAGAAAAAATTTTTATCGTGCCAATGTTTCGATCTTTATTGAGATCATCTTCAGGGCTCAAAGTGTTTGTTTTCTGAGTAGATGTGTCATTATTGTGTGTCGTGTTGAGAGTGCCCTAAAATATTGTAAAATTTAAATATTGTCGATCACAACCTTAAAGACGAGACATTCCACTTTCAAACGGTTATAATAACATTGAATTTGGATAAAGTTCTGTGAAGCTACGAATTTTTATGTCAGAAACATCAGACATTGAAGAAGAAAAAAATTGTCCTCGACCAATCTAGCCCAGAAAATCTATTTTTTATTGATATAAAAATTTGTTTTTAAGGGTGTTTAAAACGAATATGATTTTTTTTAAACAAATTTTTTGTCCTTGTTTAAAGAAAGCATCTCCGCTTTTGTAACTTTATATATAGCTAATGTTATTTAATTTTTTTTTTTAATTTATTTGTTTATTCTGCATATAAGACAGCCTGTCCTTTACAGGGGAGTGAGTCCAGGCTTATGTATATTATATGTGTGCAATATTATGTAAGAAGCAAAAAATTACAAAACAATGAAAAAGGATTTAAAAAAAGAACAATCCAAATATAACAAGAAAGCAATGAATAATGTAAATAAATTTAACATTACAGTAAACTAAAAGTAAAAGAACTGTTAGATTTCTTCTCTGAAATAATAAACTGCCTTAGTTTTAGTGAACTAGATAAAAGCATGAATAAATTATTATCTTCTTTACTTTGAGGGGACAATATTTTAAACAAAGGAATATTTAGCAGGATGTATTTGCACCTGATTTTTTTATATGTTGGGTAAATTAAAATAAAACATCCAAGAGACTCCAATTCTCCCAACTCACATGTTTGGAAAGGGAATTTGAGAGTAAATAGGCAGCATAGTGTATTCTTTATAAACATATATCTTGTTTATACAAGCCACCCTAAACTGACCAATGCCTCTCAACCTCTCTATATTATTTCTGAAATGCAAATAGGGCTCCCCCGAACCCAGACTGCTCCATGTTCTGAATTGAGAGTTATAATTGGAATTGAGTGCTATATGGATGGATGTCCCATGTCCAAAGAAGGTTATGATATTTGGACACGGATGACTTGAATGCGGACTTTTCATTGTTCAAATTCATCTGTTCACCAATAGCAGCTAATCTGGTTGAGGAAGAATGCCCAGTTGTAGAGGTTAGAATGATTATGGAGTGGTGGGATGACAGCGATCAATCTTTGTAGATATATCCTCTCGATTCAGAAATCAGCATACCTGCGATCTCTAACCAAAATTTTACAGCTCTTTTGAATATTGACAATTAATGCTCCTTAAACCTGTCTCTAGTCTCATGAGGTAATTCAGAGTATAGTACAGCCAGAAAAGTAAATGTTTCACATATTTCGTGAAGATTACATTCAAATTGTATAAATAAGGAACGCCAAATTTCAGATGCATATGCAAGTACAGATTTTAATAGCGCCTCAAATAACCTTATTTTGGTAGTCCAGGATTTGGATTTGAAGACAAAGGATTCATAATCTTATTTAATACAATTCTGTATATTATTTTTTTATTCTAGTTTAACAAAAACATAAATAGACTGAATGCACAACGAATTAATAAGTACTTAAAATACTTTTTTTCTTGGCTCTTAGAGCTCATTGATTAGAACATTCGGGCATGTATGACTTTTGGCTCAATATCACCAAAAATATAAATTTCATTAAGATCGGTGATCCCATGTTTATAGACTTTTTTATCAGTATATATTAAAAGGTGGTCGCTGCTGATCATATTGTCATCATTGGTCTGCCAATGCTGGTTTTTACGGTCAAACTCATTTCAGCATTTCTAGCATACCGGCCAAGATGGTTAAAACATGAAACATGTCTGAAAGTAAAACACCTAGGATTGGTAAGCATTATGACAACAGAAATTACCGAAAGAAGAAAATAACAATAACACCTTAATAAAACTGTAAATTATTATTAAACCAATACATTTTTTGCAAGGTAGCTAGATGATTAATACAAGTTTTTTTTTAATTTATCCATTCTAAGTTTAAATGAGCATTAGGATTTAATACGACCAAATAAATGTTCACTCTAAATAAACAGTAAATGCTATAAATGAAATGGTGATATCACATATTTGACTGATCATCCTGTTGTTTTTGCTGTATCTTTGGGTCAGTTTAATTTTGACATTTCGCTGTCTTCATTGGTAGTCTTTTTTAATTTTCTTGAAAGTCCTTGAATTGTCAAAAAATTTTCCTGCTGTAATCTCTCCTGCTGGTATTCACTGAAGATTAAGGGAAAATGTGTCTTGATGATTAAGAACGATTATAGCAACGTATAAATTGTTTGAATATGCCAATATACTGAGTGTAAAAAGGACAGCAACATGTAAAATTTGATAATTGTTTTAGGAATTTGAGAAGTTGAATTTTGTAATATTTAAAGTGCTTATCATCAATATTTCATTCTTTTATTGGGTTATTTTATAAATCAATTTATTTAAAAATATCAAACTCTGATTTTTCTTGTTTCATTCAATGAAATTTAAAAAAAACAGTATATTTTTTTTAATTAACACCATAAATTCCTAAACAAATGAGATTTTGCATATTTATAATTCCATCTTCCATTAAATTTTACTTTTGAACACGTTTCTATCCTGACTCAGTTGAACGAGTTTTATGTCTTTAAAAAAGTACTGTATTAGGACAGCTAAAAGTTAGTCAACAGCAATTGAGAAATTGTTATCTATATTAAACAGCAATTTTACATGATTGATTTTGAAATACAATCCAATGTGAACCGGTCAT